ACAACAGCCTACCTGTTTAAAAATTCAAATTTCACGTCGATAATATTCTGACTTTAACATATTGTAATAATATGTTTTTTTCAATATTAAATCGTCTTTTTTCCCGTCACAGAAAATAATTGTGTATTATACACGGGAAAAATATTAGATTTTAGCTCTCGGGCTAAAATCTAATACTTTTTTCCCTTGTATAATAAATAAACTATTTCATTTGCCACTATAATACATTTTTTTCACATATTTTTCATCCATGAAGTTACCGTCAAATTAATTTTGCAAATATAGCTCCTTTGCTCCTGTTTTCAAAACAAGACTTATATTTTGTGCATACAGGGTTCATTACCAATTAATGCAAAACGGTTTTCTTAATGAGAATATTGAGATTGATAGTTTCTCTAGAAATTTCATAAAAAATAAACTCAGGTCACACGTTTGTTACATATTCAAGTTATCCCGTTCATATTAATAGGATTTTGGGAAATTGACAGCTGACAGATAAGTAGTCTCAGACATGAAAAACGAGTTGAGCTTCTTGTTCAGTTAAAGGGTTGCTATGTAAAAACATGAATAAAAACTTTGGATATTGGCATCATGACTCAGCTATTCAAAGGAAACTAACCTCACATAATAGTCATGAATTTGATAGTGATGCTCACGTAAATTGTTAATGCTTCTGCCTTAATTTATATATTATAGTGAAACTAACATCACCCCTTGATTTCAGTAAAAAAAAGCCTTATTCAAACAAAGCTGGTATTTTGAGCTTCCGCAGGTCTTTCAAAAAATTTACTTGGATTGGAATATTGTGAATTTTTAAAATTGTAATCACATCGACTCTGCCAAACGAATGCAATAATAATTAAATTAGTTTTTAATGAAGAACTAACAAGTTTTGATGAAATAGTAAATCCGTTCATGTTGATGCTCCAAAACACTCGAAAGATGAAATACCACACAAGTTAACCACAATTACGGTAGTTCTCCCATGAAAAATGAAAATAATGTTTTTGTACTCGGTACATTGATGCTGTTTGATTTTTTCCAAAATTCGATTCATTGCCACTTTTCAACTTATTACTTATGATACCGTCAAGTGATTTTTGGCCAATCGTTCTCTATGAATTTGAATTGAACCAAAGCTAAACCATCACAGCATAGTTCTATTGTGAGGAAATCGTGTAGATCTCAAAGAGTACTGTACTATTCTGCTAGTTCAGAAATGATTTAAAAAATATCATCTTGGTATTCACATTATTGGTATCCAATTTATTTATCCAGTGTATTTCAGAGAGAAATAAACCTTTTTCGAGACTTTTTGACTTTATCAGTTTATTATTCTACGGCCTTCACAGCTTGCCCTAACTTGTTTATTTTACGAAATAGACCTATGGTTGCTTTGAGAAAGTTTTTTAGAATCAAAAGATGCACTTTTTTTTGGAAAATTCTTTTTTCCGTCCATTTGTCTTGTCAAAATGAGATCGATATGAAATTTCACACAGTTATAGACTTTCAGATGCCTCAGTTTTCTGTCAATTTTGCGAATTAATTGAAATAGAAATAGAATTAATTGAAACAGACTAACCCACAGGGTAAGTAACTGAATTGGCATAGGAATTGGCATCAGGTCAACAAAGATCTATCTCGATAAATTCCATGAAAACAGTTCCTGTTCAACCAATTCTTTACTACATGTATTTATTATTTTTTTCTATGGCTATGGAGAAAGTCATCAATTATATGACTTATAATTAACACCTTTGAAAAAATAATTATCTCGAGACCAACTACAAATGAACAAAATTCAGTTTGCAGTTTTTGTTTCAATTATTCTCAAACGTCAAGCTTATTCATTGAATGTAAATTTCTTCTGAAATATAGTTTCAAAGAAAAAACTGTAATAAAAACATAGGCTCGGAAAATGGAGATGAGTGTATCCCTCAAGAAACTTGTGATGTGGCAAAAAAAATATTTTGCAGAAGTGCCCCAATAACAAAATGAGAGTAATTAAAAACTTCTTGGCGTAGTCGTTAGAACGTTGGATATGAGTGAGGTACGAGTTCAATCTTGGCTCATTATGTCTTTTTCTATTTTTTTACTCAGTTTTCAAACTATTCGAAATTGAAAATGACAAGAATAGGAAATATATTTGGTTTAAGGTTGCTTCTTGTTATAGACTTTGATTGTATTTCTCTCATTTGGGATATCCTTCACAAATGAATTTTTTAAAAAATATTTCTGTCATAGAAAAAGCATAGTATTCTACTCGCGAGAAAAGGCCATTATTCACACAAGTGATTTATGAACTTTCATAAGTAATAGCCACATTTCCTGCTCTTTTAATAATATACTAATATTTTGTTGTTATTCATTCTAAATTATCTCATATTGATAAATAATTTATATTGTACTGATTTTGCCGTTTAAATGCGAGAATCACCTTATTCTCTGTTACATGCAGTTGGCAAATAAAACAATTTAGTAGTTGACACATATTATATTTTCACATATACAAAATTCCACTCATTTGGTTGATTTCAACAAAGGCTTCAAAGTATTTTCCAGCTTGATAGAATCTGCAGCGAACTTTCTGATTCCATCCGAAAGTTTGTCAGTGGCCATTTGGTCTTCATTGAGCATCCATCGGAATCCTGCTTCTGAGAGCTCGATTTTCTCAAGAGACTGTTTAGCGGCGATTTCTTTGCTAAGTTTACGAGGAACAGGGTCATTACTACCCTCCAACTCGGCCAGCAATTTGGGGCTGATGGTCAAAAGGTCGCAGCCAGCTAAAGCCTTCACTTCACCTTGAAAGAACATACTTGTTAATATCGTGAAATGGATATCCAAGCATATGTAACGTATTTGGTCGTCTTGCAACTGAACACCCTTTACAGACTTGTGATGCACTGTTTGGAACCTTTGGTGTAGTAATTAATATTACCGGAGTTTTTTTCCAACACCAAACCGTTATTTTAACACCTCAACACGTGTTTCAATTACCAAGTGATCACCTACAAAAGGTAGATGATCACTTGGTTATTTTTAACACCTTGACATGTGTTTCAATCACAAAGTGATCATCTTCAAAAGGAAGATGAAGAACCCAGTAATATTTAATCTTTACAGACAGAATTTTAGATACATCACATGCGCCAAACTAACTGACTATTATAAGGAAACAAGTATAGCTGAGGCACCAGTCAATCTAATAATAACACTGATGATCTTTAAACAAGACTCAAACTCTGACGGAAGCAAGAAACTCTTTCGAAGGTTCGAAATAGATGAACATTTCAGTCTAGCAGACCACTGTTATAATATTCATGCAGTCATTGTTCACTGTGGTTCTGGCGTTGAATTTGGTCATTACTACGCCTTGGTCAAAGACGAAACGGGCTGTTTTAAGTTTGACGATAGTCGTGTCACGAAATGTTCTGGCGATGTATTGAATCTATTGGAGCCTCTGGAGACACCCTACATTTTGATTTATGAGAGAGAGGACATTGGCAGATCAAGATCTTCAGATGATGTGGTGCTGCAGGTTTTTCCGGGTTTACCTGCAGCTGAAAAAGCAAATGCACCACTGGAATCAATGAAGTCGCCCCGGAGCGCCAATTAATTTTTGTTGTTTTTATTTTCATCATTATTTTGAAGTAAACGATATATCACATTATTAACAATATTGGCCATGTAATATATGTATGTATATTATAAAACTTCTACTCATATAATATTTTTTTGAAGGTTAAGGAGCAGATATTTGTGATTTAGACAACGATATGCCTAAAGAGATCTGGAAAGATTTATGTTAATATACCAGAATACTTTATAGATTTACTTATAAATGTTCTTATTTTCTTATTGATGATATAATAATCTTTATTGCCCTCCAGTGACAATAATATGTTGCTGGAGTATACTTTATCTAAGAAGGTATCTTACTGAAAAAGTGTAAAAAGCTTGGAATTATAAATAAAAAATGTAACCTAGGTATAGTACAATGAAAGAACTAAACATGAAAACATTAAAAATATAAAATACAATCACCTAGATATAAAAACTGGTCACATGTAATTAGATTAGGTGCTTGTCAAATTCATTTTACCAAATCTAAATTGATAGAATTGTGTCTGAAAACTGTATTGTGGACACATACATAAACTTTTCAAAATAAGCTTTTGAAACTCCCAACTACCTACACAGTAGGTTCTGGCCTGCCGGAAAACAACTTCCCAGGCTAATACCACGCTGGATATTGAATTATATCTGACAGATATTTATGCAAGATACCTCACCGACTTTAGTTTCGCAGATGTTTCTTGTTTGTTCCGCAGCAGTACCATACTGAAATTATTCGACTAGATCAGAAACCGGTCTATAGGTGATTTATAATGGTACTTGGTGCCGTTCTTTGCAGTATGAAAACTGAGTTCATCTACTGTTTGTTGCAAAAACCCGAAGAATGCAATACCACATCTGAGGTGAAACTCGACAAGAGCATAGAGCACTAAAATTTAATCTATCATCAATAGTCAAATCAAGAAATTTTTAGTCCGATTTAATGTCTTTTCAGATCAGATATTCTTCAAGGAGCAATGTTTTTTTTTTAACTACAAAGCAAGGTGGTGTTGTTGGTGATCAAAGTGAATTTGCCTTCAATGTCAAATCATTTAGATACTTCAAGAATATAATTGGACCAAATACGTACCCCTGTAGTATACCTATAGCTAAGATACGAGTCAAATCAATTATATATTTTTTTCTCTGAATCAGTAACTCTCAAAATTTTGTTGAAGAATTCTGTGATTAACACAAAACCAGTTAAAGTGTACACTAAGATAAAACTACAACCAAGCATAAAACCAGAAACAAAGATCATTTGTCAAAACTCAAATAAGTAGGTTACGGAACTTTTCAGGTAATATGTTGAACCATTTTATATCAATTTGAGTTGTTTTTAATCCTACTTGTGGAATAGAATTTTATATAAAAATATTAAATAAACCGTCGCAAAGTTTAGTATGACCTAAGGAGACATTTTCAAACATATGTCTTCTATTAATGCCCTGAATAACCCCTAATAGTTTAATACCATAATTTTCAAGCACTGATCTGATGCAGAATTTCATTATATGTGTAGAAATGCTGTATCAATTCCTATTTATATTTGCAGATATTTTCTTTCACAACTTTGTTTCTTATTGACAAGATGTTACTTTTACTTGATTTCGATTGATCACTTTATATTTTTTATACATTTACCTATGTTACGGAACGAAGCGCCCATGACAACAGTTTTATATCCAAATTTTTTGTAGTAGTTGTAAATCTTAGTGACTGAAATAACTCCAGGATCTTCATCTCCAGTATATGACTTCTTGTCAGTGTTGGCCACATACCAGTCAAGAATTCGTCCCACAAATGGAGATATCAATGTGACTCCAGCCTCGGCACATGCAACTGCTTGGGCGAAGTTGAAAAGTAGGGTTAGGTTGCAGTGTACACCATGTTTTTGCTCGAGAATTCTAAAACAGTATTTTGTCAGCTTAAACAGCATGTCCAAAGTAATTAACACAGAACTTACTTTGCTGCTTGTATGCCTTCCCATGTAGATGCCAGTTTGATCAAAATTCTCTCTTTGGAAATTCCTTCTTCTGCATATAGTTGGATGATTTTCAGTGCTTTTGCTATACTAGCTTCTTTATCGAAAGATAACCTGAAAATAAGGTTATCATAGTATCATCATTCATTTTAAAAAGATTGAAAGTTTATCATTATTTCGTCCTTAGAGCCAGATTAGAACGCAAATCAGGACTCCTTACCTCGCGTCAACTTCAGTGGAGACCCTCCCAGGGACAATTTTCAATATTTCCACCCCAAATAAGACACAAAGCATATCCATAGCATTTTCGAGACGTTCGTCTGGAGATCCTCCGGTTTTATTTCCATAGCGTACGGCTTTTTCAATCAAAGGTTTGTACTGAGGTATACCAGCCGCTGCCAATATCAGTGAAGGATTCGTGGTGGCATCGGTTGGCTTGAATATTTTCATAGCTGAAAATAAATTCAAAGATACAAATTCAGAGGGTTCTTTATAAATAAACAGGCACGGACTTACTTCTAGGTGTTTTCTTCGACAGCCATATAAATGTAGTGAATGATATTTAACAACTTAAAAAATGTATAAGATATGAAAAATAAAACTGTTTGTAATAAAAATACAGTTTTATTTAACTGATCAAGCATTATTTGAATGAAGACGACATTTCAAAGTGCATCATCAAAGCCAATGTCAAAGTTTGGAATAGGAAGTGTTGGCTAAATACAATAAGAGATGCAGATGCTTACAGCAATAAGTACTGTCTGTTGTGTTCAAAACTACTGAAGGTTAATAAATTATTATTCTGAGCTTCTAAATTATAAATCACAACAATAGATATTTTCAATTTATTATTCCTTCTTTTTTTGTAAAACAATGTGCTGTTAATTTTTCAAACATTATCCAAAACTTTCTACTGGTAAATCATACTTCATAACAAAAAATAGGTCCCATCAAAAGATCCCACAATAAGAATTATTCTCAATCAGGTTCTACCTTATCTCTGAAAAACTGTTTATCAATTTACCTAAATAAACGTTATGTAATGAATCATTTAGTACTCCACTAAGTCGGTTGATAAGTGCATGCTCTTGAATAAACAAGTTCATTTGTGAACTTGAGGTCAAACCGGTCATAAGGATGATTTGTTGAAAGTATAAGTTACCGCAAAACAACCATTTGTTTTCTATTGATTAGGACTTATTCCAGTACGAAAAATAGAATTTTCAAAATTTTGAGATAAAGTATATATTCTTTGAAACAATTCCGGGGGTAGTCCACGTTTTTATGCCTGTTTTTCATTAGAAAGAAAATATTTCAAAATTAAATTTCAATTCAAAGATTAAATTTTACGTTTGTGAATATATTTTGATGTAGGAAGTTCTACAAGTCCTACTTACAATTGAAAATAATTGAAACACAACTGTAAGGTTATATGATTGACCTCGCAGAATTTGAAAAGTGTAACTTTTGGATCACTTTCTGGTTTACCTCCAATTTCCACTACTAAAATTAAGACAACATTTTGATAAGATTAGATCTAAATCGACCTAAAATCTGAAAAAATAAAAGTTCTACGCCACTGGACAATGAAGGAACGACCTAGAATCTCATTAAGAACAACTAGGTAGTAGCAATGCATTTATTATCTATATTATTTCAGTCAGATTCTCACGTTCTGGAGTTAGATACTCTTCTCTTATTTTGTACATTATTGAAAATGACTTACCCTCAAAATCGCCGGTGTCGGCAACCACTGTCGTTAAGGCCTTCAGTTGTTCCAGGGAGCTCTGCATCTTGCTCTTCTTCGACTGAGGTTCTGACATGTTAATTCGGTATGAATAAATGATAAACTTAAATCAAGTGTCAACAAGGTTACAAAATGATCGGATTATATGACCACGTATATACTGCAGTCTATAGTTATGAAATGATAAGCACTTTTCTATCTTGATTTCAAATTAAAGGTTATCGCGGACCGTCACTCACTCCCACCAGTTAATTCAGGGGGGGCAGAGGAGTAAACGAACCCAACGTAAACGTGTGGTCTGTAGTTTGTACCCTTGATCCAATTCATCAAGATACATATTTTCCGTCGTTAAATTTATAGGTATGAAGTGCTTTCTTTTCATTCAGAGCGTATTTGACATGAAAGCCAAGTAATATAAAATTGAAATACCCCTAGCTTTAATCTTTGGCCAACAACCAACAGTCCTTCATTTTCACTAGAAGTGAAATTATTCCGATTTGTTTGAAAACATTCTATTTTCTCGTTAAAATAATTTGGTTAAAGGTGTTCTGTCAAATATTGAAATAATTTATATATATGCTCAAGGTAGATTCAGATTTGCGACCTTTACTACCAACTTCCACATAAGCGAATTTGGCAAAAATAATTCAATTTCAACAAAACAGAATGTGGAAAAACCATTTCCGAAAGATTAGCCATATTCTCGCACAATGACGATTTAGAAATTATTTCAATCCCGCTTTTCTTTGCAATGTCGATGGCCATGGCTCGATGCGACTGATGTGGCAAAGGCTAAGAGAGAGAGAGAGAGATAAAACAATTGGCGAGTTCCTAAATTCAACCAACATAAACGCGCTATCATTCGTATCAATCGGTGTAACTAATCACTAAATTTGAGAACTCGTCCAATGTTTTCTTTTGAAAGTACGTCATAATTTTTTCGCAAAATAAAACCTATGAATGAAGTCAAAAAAAAGAAATTTTAGAATGGATTATTTATCACTGGCATCGTTGTTGCGGAGTCATAAACCCACACCAATCATCATAGATATTAGAATATTATTGTTTGTTTGATAAGTAGAATTTGGAACCTTCGGCGTGAAAAGTCTCAGTCATCTCCTGATCACCATCACAGCACAGGTAACAATTGTTACCTATGGTGTGTCACCATCCCCATTTTTTCGAAACAAACACATAAGGCCTGTTCTGGTTCTCTGTCCGGACTGATTCTAACAGTCAGAAAACAGCCACCCAACTGAATACTGAACATGTCGCGTAAACCGTTTCAGTCCGCAAGAGAGTCACTGATTTCGTACGATTCGCAACAGTACGAACTGAAAAACAGAGCAAACCTATACTTTGGCGTTAGACTACTTCAGTTTGTTTAAAAACGTTATATTTACTCATTGAAATAATTCGTCACACCTGTCAAATATTTAAACAATTTCAAAACCATCTTCGAAACATGCTTTGGAACAATAGGTAGTGGAGAGGTACTGAAAGGCAAATCAAAATATTATCATATCAATAATGATTGGTGTATGCGTGTGCTTTCGCAACACCAATGGAATGATAAAATAATCCATTCGATTTCATATCATTTCTAGAAACATGTGGATTCGCTTTCCGATGGCATTTCAGGTTAGCTTCCCAAATTTCTGCTACCGCAGTTGTCGGTTGATTGGTCAAACCACCAACACTGACATAAAAACTTGGCAAGTTGATTTGGGTGTCACACCAACAGATGGTTCCACTTATGTATCGCTTGCGTTTACGCAGTTATTTTTATTAAGTGCCTACTTATCTTGGTTATTCACATATTATCAGTTCAAAGGGTAAGGGAGCCAGGTTCCAACCTGATTGAAATCAAGACGACGTGCAGGTTTATTCACATTTTTGTCTTCAATCGAGGACTGCCTGCCCGGTACAGACGATGCCTAACAGACTGAAACAGCTGTCTATAGATGGCTCCTAAACTAAGCCTATTCTTGTTCTCTGTCCGGACTGTTCTTAACAGAAAAAAGTCGTCCAACTGAATACTGAACATGTTGTCGCGTAAACTTTTTTAGTCTACAACTGAGTCACTGAATTTGGACGATTCGAAACAGTTAAAACTGAGAACCAGAACAATCCTATTGGTATGATCAATATAGTACTTATCTATTTATCTTTTGATTTTCATGGAATTATTTTCCAGCAGCTTGACTGCATTAGCTTTCCTCGATTGTATAATATTTCTAGAAACATGTGGATTCGTTTTCCGATGGCATTTCAGGTTAGCTTCCCAAATTTCTGCTACCGCAGTTGNGTCAATAAGTTTCACAGCCAATAGAAACTGGGAAAAATATGAAATCGTTGAATATAATCTGACGTTTCTGTTCTGGCAGATGCAAATGTCGAAATTAAAAGTTTGATTACAAATAAGAATATAATGAAAGATGAGAAACTTTTTAACTGCAGCTGGTATCACTTCCTTGAGAAGAAGTGAAGCGCTTCGCCATAATCACACTCATATTCCAAAAATAATGAGCAAATTCAATACTTATCCACCCTGTTGATTATGGAGAAATCCGAAGGGGTAAAGATTTAGTCTTTTGTAGAACTAATGTGTTATTTTTAGATGGTTCTAACTGTAAGCATATAGCTTATACATTCCTTCATAACCAATTGACATTATCATGACTTCGGAGTTGAAACATGGAGAAGAACGATTTACGGTTCATTATAGTCTTCAATTCAAGCGAGCATGTCTAATTTCGGTTTCTCTTCCACTTTCTGCACTGATCATTTGTTTCTTCACTGCGTATGCATTCCAGTATAATGACATACAGGAAACTCACTGTCGAGTATGTGGTAAACTTCAAATTGTTTTGAATAACTGAAGTTTACCATTTCAGGTATTCAACGTCATTCCTTCTATCAGCGCCGTCACTGGCATAACCCCTCAAACATATCTTTGGCGAATAAGTATTGTTTTTCATATATTACCGAGATTGATCATTTCTGCTGTGCATCGATCTTATCTACTTGGATTAATGAATGTTCTTGCTCAACCAGAGGTAAGAAGACTTGCCTGGTCCACATTTGTTTTCGATTTGTATTACATTTTTATCACTTTTGTATTACTTTAAATTATTATAAACAGTTTATCGATAACGACATTAAATCAAAATTTCTGTCGGGAAGAGATATATTCCTTTCAAGAACATTAATATACTCCAACNTTCATTTGAAGGTTACAATACTCCGACAGCCATTTGTGCAAGTTTTCTTCCCGAGTTGACTGATTTCATCGTAGCATGGTAGTAGAGTTATAGCTCCTGAACAAAGCATCTGTAAAAATTTCCTTTGCAAGGAAACTTGCACAAATATCTGTCAGATGTAATTCTATGTCCGTCACGGTATTAGCTAGGGAAGTACTTATTTTTAGGAAGTTCTTTTCCATATCCTACTATGTAGGAATATTGGGAGAGGTATTTTCTTAATAGTAATGACATTCATTTTACACATATGCCGTATGAATTGTAATCTTTGAAGCCTTTAAAAGGGCCATATATTTTTCAATACATATCGACTTTTTTCATGGAGATGTGGACGTTATTTTCGAGATCTCTGCTTTTCTCTGGTGATTTTGGATAAAAATGAAAATCTCAAGAAAAGTCAGATTTTCGAGAATGAAGTCACTTTGTAGCAATCTGATCTATAACTGATGTATATGTAATTCCTACAGATTCAATCTAAAGCTCATTTTTGGCTAAATGCTGCGTTTTCATTGAATGCCATTGAAACTGGTGCATTGTGCGGAGTTACTTATATCTCCAATAGGGAAAATTATGGTGAGTAAAATTCAATAGTTTACTTTTCCAGTTGCAGCAGCGGCCAATGCAAATAAATTTTAAAAAGAAATATAAAAGTTGTAGGTATTAAAAGATCTAAAACTTTAGTCAAACTATTTTTTCATACAATCCAAAAATTTTTGTGTAAACTTTTTTATATGTTTTGCCAGGCATCTTATTAATTTCTCACGAAATTTGGTGGTACCTCACTTTTTTGTATCCCTGAAATAGTATCAATTTTTGCAAAAACTCCGACATGGAAAAATTTTGGGAAGCAAGCAAATAAGTATATTTACATAAACGTTTACATAAATTCGTAATCTTATAAATGAATTGAGTGTTAAAAATTTAGTTTATTTAGAACACAAAGATGTAAGTTTTCAGCAAGTATCGTGAAAAACAATAATTTTGTAAGAGAAAAAAATCACATGGTTAAAACGGATTTTTCCATTTTTCTCGTAAATTTTCAGGCTATGTGGAAAAATGGTTCATACTTAATTTGTAGTTTTGTTGCCTGCAACTTTCATAATCAACCTTTTGCAATTTCACGACTTCCACATTTTAGTGGAAATCGTGAAAAACCAACTTCCTATATTGGATGGACTTTAATTTATGTATCCTATTATGAGAATCTAATCAATACAGTTTATTATATGATTTTCACTATAAAAGGGTTTTACAAAAACCGCGACACGTGTTATCCCTATACAATAGCTTCCTCAAGCATAAACAAAATTGTAAAACCCTTTTATAGTGAAAATCATACAATAAACTTTATTGATTAGTTTTCCAATATGGATTTTCATCAAGTATCGGCCAGTTCTCTTCAATCCTATTATGAGCTCAAAATTTCCCACCTTTTCCAACAATTTTTACGCAGTTTTTATTTTTCTCTAACTAGAATTTGCAGTGGTTTAGGAACCGCACATCAACATTTTCCGAACTTCTAAATCCATTCAATCAACATAATATTATATTGTATTACAATTATTATTAACATAGTATGTTCACAGTTGAATCGACGAAATAATGCACATATGTCATTAATTTGGGCATCTGACAAAAGTCCACCCCACAAACTGGCTCAAAGTAATAAAAACGAAAATATATGGATATTACTCCAAACAACCTTTTAACGAACAATTGCTTTTATTCTCGTGTGTTTTATGAAATTCGTCAAAACTTCATTGATTATTTTGTAAAAACATTTTATATTCCGCATTTCAACCCCGATATATGACAGTCATTCCAAATTTGTGGTTAAAATTTATAATTACCATGTGAAATTTATTTACTGTGAACTACTTACTTGAATTACACTAAAGTTTTCATAAGTAAAACGTTTGTATAGTATAAGGGAATTGAAACAATGTAAACTATGGAAGGGTTTGAAAATCAAATAAATTGTCAACGTCTCACGTTTGTTCAGCTATCTCTCTTTGACGTACCTACTGAGTGCAAGATATTCAAATGAGAGCTCTCTCTGAGGACAAACATTCTTACTTTTTACTTGTGGAAGAAAATAACGCTATATAAAAGTATGTAGAAAATAGAATTGAACCTTTCTATGTTTTTTATATTCTATGTTTTTTTACATTAATGTTTAATGCATACGTTTTGCAAATGTCCTTATAGGACGAAACTGCAGTAACCTTAGTTACAAATAAAAGTAGTAAAAACATAGAAAGTTTCAATTCTCTTTTCTTCATTATGATTTCCTACCATGTAGTATCGGCTACATCCATCAATTTAATAAAAGTATGTTTTTAGCGTATTTTGTTACGGCCCATGTGCATTCTTCAATCGTTTCCACTGTACTTACAAACTACATCATATGCTTGTATTGTTCCATTCCATCACTCAGAGATATACATAAAAACCCCTCTGTTTAGAAGATACAAGGCGAAACAATTTATAACTATAAGAACATTCATAAATATAACATATAGTTTTTTAGTCTACCAGAACCGTTGACTATTGTTTTCCAATATTTTTCTCTTCGGCCGTCTTACCCTTTCAAAACACCAGGATATTTCTTATCATGTCAACGTGAAAAAACCTAATTTTTCTAAATGAGAAATCGCTTATTAATGGTACTGAAATGAAATTTTGAAATGCGAGCGCACGTTTCTTACACGAGAAATCAATAATAGGTCTCCAGGAACACAATTATAATGACATTTTTCATTTTGTGATACGATAGTTCCTTCAGAAAACCAAGTAGGAAAACCACGTGGAAAGTTAGTTCGGAAAATCAATCGATTAATCAAGTCTCCATTCAGAATTAGTATGAGGATGAGGAGCATAACAAAAAGTGATGTTCGTAGATATTGTCAGTCTTAATGGAAATATCGATTGCCAGTGGCAATGAACAAACTTTAGAATGGGAATTAGAATGAGACGACAGAATATTTTTTATAGACGGAAAGTGTAGCGCGGGACATAAAGTTCTGCGAAAGCCACTGCAGATTCTGTGAAAGCCACTCCACAAATAGTTCTGTGAAAGCCAATTATAACCCGGCTGATGCCAACAAAACGATTTTAACAAAAAAACCTGGATGACTGCTGACCACAGCACAATCATTGAGGTGAGGTCAGTAGGAATAATAAATTTTATAAAAAGGGAAGAAGAGTTATATCTTTTATTGGTTATTCTAAACGGTTAAGGAAAAAGCATTTAGGAAAAAACTGAAAAAAAAATTAATTTCGAATTACTCTCATTCATGTACTGTATGTAAAAAACTTTTCTTGAATTTATACTGAGCTATTCAAAAATGGGATTGAAAATTGAAGAAGAAAAACTATATCTTCCATCTTTCATTGGCGGGGGAGTAGCGGGTTTAACAGTCGATCTAGTTCTTTTCCCACTTGATACCTTGAAAACAAGGCTACAGGCCGAACATGGTTTTCACAGGGCAGGCGGCTTCAACGGAATATACAAAGGTATCGGCCCACAAGCGATAGGAAGTGCTCCGCAAGCAGCTTTATTTTTTGTGACTTACGAGACCATAAAGTACTATCTGGAACCGTCCGTGCCAAAATACGGAGTACCTGCAGTTCACATGGTCGGAGCTTCAATAGCTGAAGTGATGGCATGTTTGATTAGGGTTCCCATAGAAGTCGTCAAACAGCGGAGACAAACCCACCCTGGAAATAAGTCTTCAATGAGAATAGCCTTGTCAGCATACAAACACGAAGGATTTAGAAAAGGCTTGTATCGAGGCTTCGGCTCGACTGTGCTGCGGGAAATCCCATTTTCAGCCATACAATTCTCCATTTTAGAATACTTGAGAAGTTGGTTCAGGAAAAATTTCAAAAATAACATTCCACTGGAGTCTTATGAAGTTGCTGTCTGCGGCTCGATAGCAGGGGGTATTGCAGCAGCTGTGACGACACCTTTAGACGTTGCCAAAACTAGGATAATGTTAGCAAATAGAAAACAAGTTAGGACTGGTCAAGTTACAATAAGGAATACGTTGAGGAACATTTATGCTTCAGATGGGTTCAAAGGTCTATTCGCAGGGTTCGTTCCTAGAGTAATGTGGATAACTATAGGGGGTTATATATTTTTCGGAAGTTACGACTTTTCCAAAAATATGTGTAATGCATTGCTTACCGGTGAATATTGANTTTTTTAGCTGTGCATGAAAAATTGTTCATCATATTCATAATCAGTAGCCTGACTCATATGTTGGCTTGCATAAAAGGTGTTAACATAATGGCAGAATTGAAGAATGGCACAAATGATGTACTCAGACATATACAATTGAAAAAGAAACTGTTTAAAATTTCCATTTCGAGCACAATTGGCTTGGTTGTTTTCTTTCTGCAACATAGATTATTTTGTCACAGATTAGGTGAGTATTTTCAATCTAAAAGTGTAGTAAACAAACAAATGGAGTTAGCCAACATTTTTTTTTCAGCTTTCAGTATGTTTGCTTTCTGCGAGTATATCATAGCATTTGCCAACATAGGTTTCCATATAGCAGTTATATTAGATCTTCCCACTGAGAGTTTTTTGGTAGCTAACAGGTTGACCGATTGTCCTCTAGAAGAAACTCGTAAACAAAAATGATTCGACTTCTCCATACGAGGTTAAATATTAGTGATTAAGAATCTAGTCATTTTACTGTATTTATCATGAAGATAATATTGAATCCAGTGAGGGTACCAACATATCCATTTGTTCAAAACTGAACTACTGCCTAAAATATGCTTCCTCACAGACATTTTTTTGCCAATTAGTCTTTCCAGGAATATTTAAGTAAAATGAATTTTTAATTGATCTCTCTTTACATTTAATTTTTTTTTCAACATTTTTGCATTCAAATTTTTACAATAGGTTTAGCATAGAGTAGAGCCACGAATATGTACATTTCCTGTGATCCATTACCTTTTCTAGTCACATTTGAGATTGTATTCCTATAGCATATGCATTTATAATTAAATTAAAGTAATTTCCATTACTTTAGATAACTAATAAAACACTATTCGATAACAGTTTTTTATTCAAGATTTTTATTATCTCCTGCGAAAATGTTTAGATGATTTCAATTAGTTCACATCTATTTACAAATAAAAATTAATATTAAAAGTACTCTTAACACTGATTTAGAATCCTGCTATGATTTTGCCTCTTTTTGAAGCGTTTTTTAGCTTTTTTGTTTTTTTGTCCTTCTTTCTCTTCTGAATGTTTTCTGTCCTTTTATTCTGTCTCTCTTCTTTTGCCTTCTCTACTTTTTGTATCCTCTGTTCCCATTTCTTTTTACTAGACCTTTGCTTTTGTTCTTGTTTCTTAACACTTTTTGCCAACAGAGCTGGATCATCTTTGACTTTCTGCCCTTCTGCTTTGGCTAGTGCATTCTTCCAAGAAGTTTTCTCCTTTATTTCTACTGCTTTTTCCACTTCACCACTTTCTTTTAATTTTTGTATTTCCTCATCCCTTTCTTTCAATTTTTTTAAAAGCTTTTTGGGATCTTTTTCCTGTTTTGTTTTCTTGTGTTTACCGACATTCTCAAAGTCAAACTTCGAAAATACAATTTTGTCTTCTTTATTGAATACTGGTTTATTGGCAACTTTTTTGGAATCCTCTTCCGGCTGCGCTTCTTCCACTTTAACCTCTGCTTTTTCAGTTAGTTTTGCTGCTCTCTTCAGTTTTTCTTTTGCGTTTCGTTCATTTTGATTGTTCTTCTTTTTCATTCGATTCTTCAGGCCCTTTTTGGTTAATTTTTCTTTGTATGTAAGTTTTTTCTTGCTTTTGATAGCTTCTAACCTCTGCTGTAATTCACTAAGAGATTTGGCCCTAGACGTTTTGTTTAGATTGTAATTTACAGTAACACGTGATTTTTCATCCCTTTCGTCATCATCTTCAAAATCTATAATTTAAAAGAAATACCAATAATGAGAAATAAAAAAATAAGTAATTTCTACAATAAACAGTCCTACAGAATTAGGAATTCATACCTTTGCGATCAGGAATGCACGTCCTTGTCAGGAGATCCATTATAAATTTATTTTCATTTACCAAAAATTGTCTGATCTGTTTCACATCGAATTTTCCCTGAGATAACTGCATTTTTAACAGCCCTCTGTTTACCATTCACGATCAATGCTGACTTAACCTTACATTAAGCAACGATAGAACAGAAACTACTTATATCTGTGACTGTGAAAACGATTCGAATAACCTAATCGCACCAATTCTGCTTCTTATTTTCGTTCATTTGAAGGGCCCATTGTCGCAAAGTCGGTACATTTTATATTGTCCTTAAAGTTTTTGTATTCCACTCATTCCTTTCTCTTTGTGATGTATATGACTTGTTATGAATGTATTTTACTTAAAGTAGTGAATAATGAATTGAAAACGAAAAGTCTCTCTTCTATGTTTTTGGGTTTTGCTTCCATTCAAGCGCATTGAGTCAAAAACGAATAGTCAAAGTGACATTTTATATGACATGTCTGCGGAATATTAAATTTGTTACGGACGCCACATTGTATTAATAGGGAATTAGATTTTATAAATGTTTTTTTCTGTTCCATGGTCATCCTGTGACATATGTCATTTTTCTCATGGTTCTTAGTTTTCATTGTTCAAAAGTACCTGGAACATGTTCAACTACCTGTTGAAATTATAATTGTTAAATGTATTTTAACATGTTCTCATCACAATTTCAATGCATATGATTGTTGGCTTTTTCAGTTATCAAATTATTTCATTTAATTGATTTGTCTTATTTTACTGACATGTATTATTTTTATAATTCATACATCCATTTCAACACTGCCCATTTCATCAACAGAAAGTCTTTTTTTGTACATTTGCAACATGAAAAATTTTATTGAATATTAAAATAACTTGTGTTATAAGAGGACACTTCCTTCTGCTGTAGTGACGTCATTAATGATAAGATTTGTCAGAATGGAATGATTCAATTTGTGTCAGATGTCAAATTCAATAATAAAAACAAACTATTCAATTTTCTCTAATCTCAATCAGAATCGAATGAGTGCATATAATTTTTTGCATAAATATTACAAATGTAGCTGCATTTTTGAAACCAGTGTATCAGAATTCTTTTTTCTATTCAAATCAAGCAGAAACTGCCGTAACGTCAAATTCCGTTTCAGAACCAACCTCACGCTAGTTTTCAATCATCATGAATACATTTTCATTTTTTTTTTAATAATTTAAATTTATGTGACGTCATCGTTTAAACGCCAGAGTGAATGTATTTGAATCATAGACGAATACGTTTTGAATACATGAGCTTAATTCGTGACAGATTAGGATCACAGATCTCGCGTTGTGTCATCGCGACACGAGAGAAAGCACTACACTACAACTAGTTTCAACAATGGAAAATGGGAATATTTGAATAATGAGATAATACGCGTTCTTCCATTCAAAACGTCAGCGCATTCCTATTTGTTGAAGCAATCCATTTGAAATTTTCTGTTGAATTTGAGAACTTGTCAATCATTCACGTTATTATAATTTGCTGCATTAGGAAATATACTATCAACGCCGTCTTATTTTCAAGTATGTTTTTTCAGGGATGTAGAACTTCAGGCTACGCAACTTGTTATGCTGTATATTAAATAAAAATTACATACTCTCTACATTATTCAATCCTATATTTTATCACGTAGTTTTATACATGAAACTCGACCTTGAGAATATGAAATTCGTTGACCTTTAAACCCGCTTAAAACTGCAAGGTTTTTTCTAAACTGTCTTGTCAGTTTATCCTCGATATTTGTTAATTTGAATCAATTTGTTCCGTGTGCAAAAGTGATAAGTGATAATCAGCTATTTTGATTTTATAAGCCATTTTTTGACCTCAACTGTTCACATAAAGATTTCACGTTCTTTAAAAAAAATCCACCATGAGTACTGCCGGCAAGGTATGAGAATGAAACATTCACATTAATCATATTACTTTTCATATCTGCTTCATGGTTTTAGGTTATTAAATGCAGAGCAGCCGTAGCATGGGGCCCCAAAGAAGACCTGAAGATGGAAACTATCGAGGTCGCTCCACCAAAGGCACATGAAGTTCGCCTTAAAGTGTTATTCACCGCAGTTTGCCACACGGATGCCTACACTTTGAGCGGTCAAGATCCAGAAGGTCTTTTCCCAGTTGTTTTAGGCCATGAGGGAGCTGGAATAGTAGAGAGTGTAGGAGAAGGAGTAACACATGTTCAGCCAGGTCAGTATATCAGCTTGGCTTTGCAATGGACCCTTTTTTTCATACATGTATTATGATGTGATATTTCTAATGAGTTTTTTGATGAAATATATTTACATAGGTCAATGTCTCTTCTGTTTATGGACCTCAAAGTCACTCTATGGGAGTGAAACTAGATATGAAACAGCTAATGATATTTAACATTCTTGTTAGTTGGAATTAATGAAGATCATTATTATTATTTAGAAAGTCCCACTGTTCATATAATTTTGTTTATTTTCTAAACCTGTTGACGGCGAGTATGTGTAGATATGACGACATATAAAGTTTCATACTTGTAGTGATGTCTTCATAATTTTAAGTTTTCATCAATGACGGTTTGGGATAGTGAAAATATTGAGATATTCTGAATCATCTTTTATAGTAACCTTCTAGTAATATGGATTAGATTACATGATAGTTTTCAGTGAAAATATCAGTTTACTCTGATTACATCAACTCGAGAACTAAAATAATATCATAAAACTTTTGTTGTAGGTGATCACGTTATTCCTTTGTATGTACCACAATGTGGAGAGTGCAAATTTTGCAAGAATCCAAAAACGAATCTGTGTCAGAAAATAAGAGTACCTCAGGGTAGAGGTGTGATGCCTGATGGAACTTCCAGGTTCTCATGCAATGGAAAAATGTTACACCATTTTATGGGTTGCTCCACTTTCAGTGAATATACAGTAGTAGCAGATATATCAGTAACAAAAGTAAGTAGACTGTGGTATGAAAGTAACTAAAATTCCATAACGTTTATACCTAGCAAGCCTAACATTTATTCAGAAATATGTATTTAAGTTGTTGATTGAAGAATATATTTTTTAGAGTATCTGAATTCTGGGGTATCATGTAAGTTTTTACATCAAATGAAATAAATTTTATGGCATCACTTCCTTCAAGCATGTTTCATGATCATTGAGTGATAAGATAATAGGTTGTTACTAATTTATCAAGTAACAAATCCATAATACATTTCATAATTATCCTAGACAATCATCTTGGTAATATTCCATCTTGAATTTTTCTATAACTGGAATAATAACAATTAGCAAAGCACATTGTTCGTCACTTATCAAAATATACATCTTCTAATTAGAAAATGAACTTTGGTCCATTTCAGAGCTTAAAGAGATTTCATTTTCATTAAATCCTGAATATTAAACAAATCAATATTTGCTTTTTTCATGATTAGCAAAATGTCAATAATATTTTCTACGTCATCTCCTGAAGACGTCAACTTGGTTAATGAAATGCTTGTTAAGACGAGAGTTACAGTTTTGGTGTTTGGGAGCAGTGCTTTTCTTCAATTCATTCTATGCCAAAGTTTCTAGTTCTACCATTCAGTATTTGTCGGGTTAATATGATTTGTCTCTTAATGGTTTCAAAATTATTTCAATGGTAGGAGGCAGTATATTGATATTTTTCAAAATTTACTTTATGGTGTACCTCAAGAATCCATCCTTGGTTATGTTTTTCCTTTATATACATTTTGTAGCCAATGTGATATTTGACTGGTTTAATCAAATTATCTGCATATGCAACTGCTATTATGAAACGAAAAGATACATTATATGAAGAATGATTGGGATGAAATTCTAATTTAATGAACATAAATCAAGGCCCAATTTTAATAAATTCTCATATATGAATACTCAGTGTCTGAATCTGTGGCATGGAACAAAAACTACCATTGCCAATTGAATTGGCATATGCAGAAGGGGCATATGTCGATGTCTTACTAATTTTGATCTGTAGGAATTAGGAATAGGTCAAAAAATTACAAGTGCCGTTTCTGCATATAATAATAATAATATTAATTGACCATAGGCAATACAGATCGTAGATATATGACAAGTTAAAAAAGATAAGTAAATATTTCATTTATTTGATCTAATTATAATTGAAGAATACAAAGTGAAAAACCAAAAATCCTGAAAGTAATATAAAAGTATAAATTGAATACAAAACAATAAAATGCAAATAGTGTTATAAACATATACAAATAGAAATTTAATTGTAGTCAAGCAAACAAGCTATTCAATATAAATAGCATTTGGCAAACAGCTGAAAATATCTACATGTTGTAACACATTCCCATTTCTCAACATTCGAGTAATTGGAGAGAAAATACCCATAATTACTTGAATAAAATGGTATTTTACATATCTCATTGCTGATTCTAGTTTGTCTTTTTACATCAGATCAACTAAGGTTATGATTTCGTCTCACTCAAAGCGCATATCATTAATTACTCTCCATTTCAACCATAGTCCAACCTCTAGAGTATTGAATCATACTCCAACAGATCTCAGCAATGAACAGTATTGGGAGTATTTAAACTAAAGTCTATGCAGGCTGTACTAACAAATCTTAGTTTAGTACCAAATCGAATTCTTATGTCTTTTATATTTGAGGTTCTATTCAAGTAAACATTATTAATGTGATAGTCATTAATAACTGGATGCGAAAAACAAATACAAGAAATCTGCTGTTCGTTTTACACTTTTCTTGGTAATTAATAAATAAATGAAACAATAGTGGATCACAATGAGATCTCTGTGGTACACCAGATTTTATAAGAATAAGAGAGAATACATATATAATTGCCAATCTACATCTACCTGATAGGTTCAACCATTTCAGCATTGTTTTATGAAAACTCAAAGAAGACATCTCAACAATGAGCAAATCATGGCTGAATCTTACCAAAGGAATGGGAATAGAATACTGATAATATGTATAAAAAGAAATCTGTTTTTCCCTTAACCAGCTGTCGCACCCCTACGAACGACAACCCTCAGCTAAGGGCGCGAGCTAAGGATTAACGAGGTCTTACCTTTTAACGTGTGATTCCTAACACGTTTTCTAAGTTTAAAAATACTAAATTTTATACAGTAAATCATCTAAAATCAAATACATTGATATTTACATGAATACTCATGTACAAATATGTGCAATTACACCTATTCCCATTCGATTGGCCTTGAAGTTTCAACCATTTTTAATGTAATGAGTTGAAATGATTTCAGCTTGCCCATGGGAGATTAGAACAACCGTAAGACATTAGTTCCTATCTCAAAGTAGGTTGTTCATTTTCAAAAAATTAAAAGCAAGAAATTGATTTAGCCAAAAACTTCTCCCTATCATATAAATAATAATCAAATCTTTTTCAGATTGATCCCAAAGCACCTCTGGACAAAGTGAGTCTTTTGGGATGCGGAGTACCAACAGGATACGGGGCGGCTCTAAATACTGCCAAAGTAGAGAAAGGAAGCACCTGTGCTGTGTGGGGATTGGGCGCAGTAGGTTTGGCAGTTGGTTTGGGTTGTCAAGCAGCAGGAGCATCTCGCATCATTGGAGTTGATTTGAACCCAGCCAAATTTGAAGTTGGTAAGAGCAAATATAATGTTGACGAGTGTAATTTGAAAAAGTCAGCTTCATTCATTACAATTCACAAATTATGTGTTTATGTTTCATATTTTCAACCTGAACTGATCTTTCTGCTTTCATCATTTTCTCAGGAAGAAACATTTTTGTTATTATATTTGTTTTATGAAAGCAATGAAAAGAGTTTCTGTTTATCCAATACCACCAGAAACTCATTAAATTGATTGAGAAGTCATATTAAAAACACTTTTTCAGTCCTAATTTTTTTTTTCAAAATTTTATTGATCTGAATGCTCAACTTGGAATTTTGATTGTACTCATGAATGCCAACATTAACTCCAAATTTTTTTTTTCTTCAGCAAAGAACTTTGGCTTCACCGAGTTCGTCAACCCCAAAGACTATGAGAAGCCTATTCAGGAAGTCTTAGCTGAAATGACAGACGGAGGTTTAGACTTCACCTTTGAATGTGTTGGAAATGTGCATACCATGCGGGCGGCTTTAGAATCGTGCCACAAAGGATGGGGAGTATCTACGATTGTAGGCGTAGCTGGAGCTGGACAAGAGATCAGTACCAGGCCATTCCAACTTGTGACAGGAAGGGTTTGGAAAGGAACTGCATTTGGAGGTGAGTACCAATACATAATTGTAATACATGACAAGCCACTAGATAGTAGTTGATGAGCTTGAGTTTTGAATGTGATTTCCTACAAGTAAATACTACAACCGAATAAGAACTGAATAGTGATGATTACAATTTATTTTTGGGAAGAAATATTTTCGGTTTTCTACTTTTCCATCTTTATACAAAAATGTGGCAAACGCCCAACGAAAAGAAGAAAGCAATTAATTTCAAAATATGTAGATCATGCAAAGAAGTAACTTTCAGACATGAACTAGAAGAGAAAGCCCCCTTAAAACAACTTCCATACAAACATTGAATTACATGAAAGAAAAGGTAGATAGATAGAAATCTTCATTTACTTTTCAGAGTATTTGTAGTCCTACATGAACACAGTGGCAGAATACATTGTCTGTAAAAGTACATCAACAAAATACAAAATCTCAAATCTACATACAATTTTTGTATGAAGATAGAAAAATATGAACCCAAAATCTTTCTTTTCCAAAAATTAATCTCTCCTACAAATATGCCTCTTTCAATTTATATTCTTTCAAAACTACCATTGGTTACTAATTTTGTGAATACTACAATGGGTAGTAGTTTCAATGGACTAAATTTAAAATGATTTATTTGAACTCTAACTGGATACTTTTAATGTGAATGTTTGACCATGCTTTCAAGTTGAGAAAATATTCTGATTTCTTCTAATCTTCTACATTTTCGCGAATAATTACTTAACTATTGACTTTACGAGAAAATGTATATTGACTTTTTTATAGTACTCATTGCAAATCTACAAAAATTGTTTCATGGACGTTTTTGGATTTTTTCAACTTTGTGAATAACAAATAAGTTATCCAATGATTATCCAACATTTCCTGAACTGTAGAAATTAGTTGTGATGCACTGTTCAAAGCGGTGTAGAAATTAGGGCAAAATTTTATTGCAGTCAGCCTAAAATGTCTAATGAGTTTCGATTGACACATGCTGTTGAACCATTCCTAACCTAACATTTTACGAAAAAAACTTGTATGAACTTTTTTATGGGACCCGTTGAGATGAACATAATTGATGCTATGAAAATTTTATATTTTTAAACCGTTTGCACACAAAATGGGAATTTACCTGAACGGTAACAATTATGTGAAAACTGTAATGAAATATTTTGTTTACCTTCTTAGGACCAACAAAAATGGATGTATGAGCTTCTTCCCTATTTTAAATTCCAACTTTTCGCTCATAAACAACATTTTCTGAAGTGTTTCATGAAAATTACAATTTCTTAAATTATTCTCGAACTATCATAGTTTTGAAAATACTGTTCTGGTATTTTTTGAAGATCTTTTTGAGGTAAATGGAATGAAAATATAATCATGAGCTTATAAAGAAATAGTCTCAATATATTATTGCATTTGATAAACATGCTGGAGTGTAAAAATTTCACTATTAGCAGCAACTTACTAGTGTACGCATTCTTTCATAGTATAATTACGAATTTTTTTGATGGGAAGGAAGCAATCTCAGAATTGCATACTGTATTTGTAGTTTAATTATTGACCTAATTGTTCTTATAATTACGATTTATGTATGTATGTGGTTAAAAAAACAAAGTACATTTGTTTTACGGCAAGGCCTACACCAAAAGGAAGGGGCACCGCCCTATAGACTGGAATTTTCGGTAGTCCAGCAGATATTGAAATGTCTGTCTGAAACATACTACATGCTTATGACTATTGAATTGTAAAATAAACTGTATGATTATCAAATCAAAGATAATCTCTGATCGGGTACATATGATATAATAATAATAATCGACTTTATTCATCACAAGAGATGAAGGATTTCTTATTTGTATTTACATTACATTAATTGAAGATAACCTTATGTCGAATGGGTGAACTGTCAGCTAAAGCTGTTTTTCAAATCGATATATGCTGATTTTTGTCGCTATATCATGATGGGATTATTATACATAATTCAGTTCCAGAGTAAATAAAGAAACACTATTGCATTACAGAATGTGAATATCATATGAAAAAAAAAACAGATTAGTGGAATTTCATAGCTTGCATTTTTTCAATCACCCTTGAATTCGTTTTAAACATGTACTTTCTGAAACCAATTTCATATTTGAAATCAAAGAACTGCTCGAGTATTTGAAAGTTCTCCCACTGCACGCTTTCAAAATGGTATTGAAAGTATTTTTTTTAAACCACTGTATTCCTTTTTAAAATACAATCTGCTTTTCCGTTAACCACCTGTCGCTCCCCTAAGAACAACCCTTAAAAGTGGAGACATAATCTTACCTTTTAACGTGCGATTCCCAGAACAATAAATTGACCTTTAAAACGAGTTATTCCCTCATGTCTATGTTTCAATGTATGATAGTATCTTAGATTTTATATTATATCCATATTTATAATTTTATCGATATTTCACACATATTGACTTGCTGTAATTGTGCAGAAACGTATGAAAAATGTATTCGATTTTCAGGTTGGAAAAGTCGTGATAGCGTGCCAAAATTAGTCGACGAGTATATGGCCAAAAAATTGAAACTGGATGAATTTGTCACACATTCACTCAAATTTGAAGAAATCAATGAAGCTTTCCATTTGATGCACAAGGGAGAAAGGTATGTATTTCTTTCAAGAGCGTATACACTATATCTCAATATTTTTCATTTTGCAGCATCCGCTCAGTTTTGGCATTCTAATTGAAGACAGTTATTACCATATGAAAGGAATAAAAGTTTAATACAAAACTTGTGTTTTATTTTAAATAAATACAAATATAGAAAACACTAACACAATCACTCAAGAGCTTGTTGTTATTTTTCGGGCCAACACTTGGCATATCTTGGGATTCTTGATCAGAATGAGGTGGCACAGAAAGTCCTTGTCATTCTTCAACGAACTGAGAGATCTATCGGTGAGAACGTTGATTAAAGAGAGTCCCTCTTCCTCTTTGATGGGATTCGGCAGTTTAGCAAGAAGCCGACAAACTTGGCGGTTCACATTGACTTCTACCTCTATGGTCGAGTAGAACTGAATTTTTTGCTGAAATCATAATATATTATTAGATGAAAGGTTTAGTTTGAAATGATATATAGCACAGTCTAACTTTTGTTAATTCTAAATGTGCAAATTACAATTTCAGACCCGGAGTCTGGCTGTGAGTCATTTTTTTACATGAAAAAAAAAAGAATATAAGAATTCTAAATATTTCCCCTTTCTTTCCGTCCGACACCAATTAAAGAGGCGATACCCAAATAGATAGATTGGCAGAAGAGGAGCAATTGATTGGCCTCCGAGATCACCTGATTTAACCCCCTTAGATTTTTTCTTTGGGGATCTGTTGTTAAATCTGTTTTTCATGTAACAACCTGCTGATATTGAGGAACTTGAAGGGGACGAATTACAGCAGCACGCTGCTCAATTCTTAGTGAAGTTTCCCGTAATGTTTGAAAGGAGTTTGAAAACAGACTTCATTAAAGTTTAGAGCAAGTTCACTATTTTTTTTTTCGAAACAAAGTACTACTACAACAGTTACTGACAAATTGAAATGTTACAACAAGTAAAGAAACAAACTATAAGGCAGTTTATATGAAAATAAAAAATAACATGAAAAGTAATGTCTTGAAAAATCACATGGATTACGTCCTTGAAAAATTTCAGTCACGCACAACATATGATAGACTTGTAATAGGCAGTCTGCAAATACAGTGATTTTTGACCAACTTTTGGATCCCAAAACGTCTCAGCAAGATGGAAAAAATTTTTCAATATGGTTTATTATTTGGTGTAAAACACATAATGAGGTAATTCTGTTATATCTCCTCTTAGACAGTCTAGACTCTAGACAACTCCTGATGATGCTAACTTGGTTAGCGAAACACATGAAGCGAAAAAATTGTTTTCAGTAGACTAAATACTACTTTTCAAGCTCCTTGTAATTTTCAAATATTTCCATCCCACAAATTGAAAATGTTAAATTCGTGACCTGAATATTGAACTTGATAATACTCAAGGTTACATGTTCAATAATGAGACTAAGATAAAACTTGTTGAACGTGTTTCATTGCATGACAAATTACGTAATGAATTCCAGTAATTAAATAACATCTGATTAAACTCATGACATGATGGTTCAAATGAAATAATTATCGTATTTTCAAAACAAACATTTTCATATACCGTTATGAAATTTGACGTATACATACTGCTAGATGAAAAGTGACTTAAATATCTCCTTCAACATAATAAATAGGCTGGATTTTTCAATATTTGGTAGATTTTTGATATAGGGATAGTCAGAAGAAGTTAACCTTCTTTTGGTGATACTTTTGTGAATGCACTTTTAAATTCAGTTCCACGTAATTGTATTGTCATATGAAAAGAAAGTAATATTACAATGCTTACTAAAACCAGAGCACAAATGCTCTAAGAATGGAATTATGCATAAAAAGTTAGAAAGTAAACTTTCAAGTCTAAATTATTTACTTTTTCATAAGGAAAAATCATTCCTAGAAATGAAATGTCATGAAATCAAATGAAAAATATAGTGTGGGACAATTAAATATAATAAATATTGAAGATTAGTGTTCCATATCTTCCGCTCTAGAATTACTTAATACCACACCAGTGGCATTAAATGGCATGTGAGAATTTCTATGCACATTGTTTTTGAGAAGGAAATATGAATTGATGTGTCCTGAGGAAGACCTAATGAGAGGTCGAAACGTTGATATCGGAAATTCATTTTCTATATATTTTTTTCCGACTTCTTCCAACTAAAAACACCAGTATATTCAAAAATGTTATTGGGATAAAAACTGAAAAATATAAAATAATTTTGGGAATCTGGTGAGAACACATACTCATAGAGGAATTTCTTTGAAGAAAATTAATGAAAGCTTGTGTAACAAATGAAGAATTATCAACTCATTTGTATGTGAGGAAACTTTTCAGTTTTTATTATTTCGTGCCAGTTTGCAGATATACAAATTGATGACGTTTGTACATTCTTTCATAGAAAGGTGAATGTTTATAATTTTTATTCCTAATATTTACTTTATTGGCCTTTGAATCTCTACTCTATATGTATATTGTTTTTAATTTACTTTTTTCCCAAAAGAAATTACCTTGTACTCTTTTGGGAAAAAATGTTTTGACTAGTTTTTGTTCTTCTCCAGTTTGAAGAAAATTATCAATCTATAGACATATTGATACAAATTTGCAAATCTGTTAATAAATGAATAAATAAAACCACTCAGAAACGTGTAATATTTCAAATTTAAAAAAATCTTTGAAATGAAGAAAAAATTTTGAACTTGTTTATAATGAAAAGAGTATGTGTGACATCAATTTTTTTGAGGAAAATTGAAAAAATTTGTATACTGTGCATGTATCATGACAGATTCTTGAGGTTTAAAAAATTTGTTTTTCCGTTAACCAGCTGTCGCACCCCTACGAAAGACAACCCTCAGAAGTCGAAACTTGTGCGAGCTAAGGATTAACGAGATCTTTCCTTTTAACGTGTGATTCCTAACACGGGTTGGACGATAGCAAGTGAAAATCGATCGTTCAGGCTAGGGCTTGAACCACCGACCAACACGGCAGTCAATTCGAGTAAGTGAACAAAGCACCGGCGTCGAACCTCCTGGCTACCGACCGACCACGAAAAAATTATATTACTCTTTCAATCAAAGTTTTCAGTCGATGTTTAA